TCAAAGTTTTTATTTATATTTTTTTTCTTTGTAAAATTACTTATTCTCTAATTCTTTTATTTTTATTTTATTTTGTAGTGTATTTTATCAATCTATATACTGCATTAATTATGAGAAATATGTCATTACTCTATTTGTATTATGTCAAGCGCTTGAGAGAACACTCATCCTGGAGCGCTTAATAAATAGCGATCTCTCTCTCTCTCTCTCTCTCTCTCTCTCTCTCTCTCTCTCTCTCTCTCTCTCTCTCTCTCTCTCTCTCCTCCCCTTCCCCTCTCTTTCTTTCTCTCACTCTCTCCCGTTGTTTCCGTTTATAATCGGCAAAATCGTAATTCACGAGCCAATGAGTCGCGCGTAGAGACTTGCCAAAACAACGGATTGCGCTTTCCGCGAAATACAATCGATTCTCAAATGTGACATAAATTCGCGAAAGACGTGTGTCCTGTGTCGAGTCGTCGTTCGACGAAGATTCGAATGTGTCCTTCGTTCGATATCTCGTAGCAAGCAAACACAACAGCTAGTCACTGTTAAAATGACGTTAAAATGTATTGTGACATGATATTAGAAAAGTGACTTTTCCAATCATTTTGGAGTCATCTTGACTTCTTGATGCCATCATGATTTGTTCTGCCTGAGTGCGACGTGTGTGTCCTCGCAACAACGCAACCAACGCGTCTATTCGCGCAGTCATCGACCGATCCATGTTTACGTTTGCACGAAGAGAAGGCGCTGGGGCGTCGCGTGCTCCGCTCTTGGAAAACCCGAGCTTTTAACTCATACTCCGAGGAGTTATTTTTCTTGGATGTATTAAAAAAGAAAACAGGCCAATATAGAAAACCGACCTCTCCTTCCTTTAACGTAAAAAAAGATGACAAGGGGAACGCGTCGCTTTCTTCGCTATAACGATAACGAAAATAAATCTCCATCTCCGCGGCCGAGATTCACGATCGAGAACGTGGAACAAATTTGGATTACCAATTACGTATGTATCTACGTACGTCTATATCGACAATCTGCAATTATTATATCCAACCATCCACTTCGATTGGTCCTCGATCCAAATAATCTCCCAGCCTCCCCCAGCCCCTTTGCCCGGATGTGTCGCGTCGCGCGTAAAAGTCGGTCATCGGATTCGTTTCCGTTTCTACCGTCTGCCGTGTTGCATAGGTAACCTGTTGCCAGACACGAACACATCTACATGGTAATAACGCCGGGGCGCGAAACGGTGTGTAGTGTGTGCGGCCGTCCGCGCCGCGATCGATGGGATAAACTTATGCGAGCTACTGCTGCTGCTGCTGCTGCTACTGCTACTGCAGCTACTGCTGCTGCTCGGCGGAACGGGAGCACTAAATGACGATTAAGGGATTCTCGGACGAAAAATGCAAATTCGCGCGGATATAGGTAATTCGTCTCCTTGGAACGGCGAACAGATGGCGGATGTCAGGAGAATCGGGATTGCGTTCCGGATATGGGGCGGAAGACCCCATACATCGCGAACGCGGCGTACCTCTATAAATATCGCGTAACGCGGGGGAAGAAAAAAAAGGGGAGAACGCGCGGACGCGGGGAAGGTCAACCAAGGTGATGGTGGTGGAGGAGCCGTAAAAGGAAATTGCGTCCCGCTGAAATACGGGCGTCGGGCACTCTGTATACCCGGCGACAGCGACGGTGACAGCGTCTTTACGCCATACGGAGACTAAAATACCCGCGCCTTGCGAGGGCACCGCACGCGATCACGGTGTCCCGCCCATTCGCGATCATCATTCCGCGTGTCCATCTCTCTCGGAATAGAATTTTCGCGATTGACGTGACGCGCAGAAGTTTGGAAACCCCGCGCGACACGTAAATACAATTCAGTACGCGCGAGTCTCCTGTATGTTTTGGAACCGAGACCGCGTATATTATTCGTGTACTCGAATATATACGACGACGACATGAGTACAAATTACACGTAGAAATGCACACGAAATGCATGCGCTGCTCCTTTTCGCTCTCGTCGCGAAAAATAAGTCTTTTCGTTGCGTGTGCACGTTCCGTGCGTGCTGCGTACATTTCGAATTACGAAAATAAAGGAAAAAAAAGACTTCGCCAAGAAAATACTCGCAGGCGGCGATAACGTTAAATCTCTCGCGCGAGCCGAAGCGAAGCGAATTTTTGCGAAAAGCAAAAGTTTACCTGACTGTTATAGCGAGCCTCAGGCTCTCCTCCGCGAAGAAAACGGGCGAGTTCGTCCGCGCACGATGACGCCTCACGCCATGAAACTTCCCTTCCGATCGACAGCGTCCCTCCCCCTCGAATTAGAAAATCGCCGCCGATCGCTGCAGGCTGCTCGCCTATCCGTCCTCCTTCCCGTCGACGCCGTATTTCCTCTTCTCTTCCTCGCGAGAAGACCTCGCGGAAATCGTTACATCTTCCACGGAGAACCGCGCTCTTCCCTCAAAGACGCCAGGTCGGCGACGGTGGTTGCGGCTTGTCGGCCGCAGGAGCTACTTCTCGTTTTTTTTTCTTTCCTTTATTCGCGTTTCTCTTCCTCGGATGTGTGAATTTTCGCGCGCGCACCCACCGCGAGAGACCGTGGACGAGTAAAGGCTTGCCTCTAATGTTGTACTAAATACGAGCGTGCGAACCTGAAGGACACGCCTCTGCGTATTATGGCGCAGACTCGGATTCCGCGTTCTGCGGAACGGTGAACGGAAGCCCACAGGGGCCTTTAACTTCGGCGAGAATACTCGATACGCGCAAGTCCGTCCAGCGGCAGCGGCGCGGCAGCAACGACGGCAACAGCGATCGCCACCGCCCGCCCATCTGCTCGAGACGTTCGTAATCCTCAAAATATGTCATCGTGAAACGAGATCACGGATTACGCGGATATCTGTAACAAGAAAGAACGGTCGGAAGAATGGTGAATTTTTTTCCCTTTAAATCACAACGGTAAATGATAATTGACGATCTAGTTCCAGGGATGGACCGACCGTCTTAATTCGACGGTTTGAATAAGCGCGTGGACGTAAAAAGGACAGTTCCAATATCATTGCAGCACACAATTCGACGTAAAATAAGCAACAGCCTTTATTATAAAAAAGATTATCCCAATAATTAATCTCCTGACAATAAAATCAATTTATTGCCTCTATATTTCGCCCTCACATAACAAATATCCATTTTAGCTTCGATAAATCGAAAATAGAAAACGATATATATTGGATATACACGTATCACAGATGAGTATCGTCTCAGTCAAGAAATGCGATAGTAATAAAAAATAAATTTGTCGGAAGAACCAGGCACCAGTGCGCTTCTTAAACAGCAGGAGTAACTAACGCGAAGCGCTCCAGGTAACACAATTCGTCGTACTCCGCGTGCAGGATTCCTCTTTTTAACAGTAAAATTGACGTGTCGCTTAACCAACGTCATAAGGCACTCTATCTCGTCATCGCCACGGCTTTCGTACAGCTCCTGTACTCGTGCTCCTCCTGATACCTTGATCTGCAATTTCAAGAATATATTGAAGTACATTCATTAAGGAAAATTGTGTGACGAAAAGAGATGTAAAGAATCTTACGCAATGTATTTGGTGACATAAGTCTGTCTCTCATATCCGAAGTCCACGTTTGACATCTAGACCTAACTAAACTCTTTTTAACAGCCAATGGTCGCTGGTGTTTCGCCATTCTAAATAATAATGAGGTCATAATCTTAATAGAGATGTGCAAACTATATTCGAATATGAATAGCATTGAGTTGAATCAAGTAAGATTGTGTGAATCAAAATTTTTTTGATGAACTGAATCGAATCGAAAATTGTTGAAATATGACTTTTAATTAACAATATAACTATTGTTAAGTTAAATTTTAATATACATATAGATAATAAAAAAAGATTTCTATGTAAGAAAAATTATTCAAATCCAAATCGATTATATTACATAAGTACTGTTTCACTTATTATCGAGAAATTATTTTAGAACATTGTCAATATACGCGTGATTTGTATTCAATTTTCTTAGGTTCAAAATTTTCGAAAGGCTCGGATTCGCATCATCGAGATTCAAGTCCGAGTCGATCCGAATCCATTGATCCAAACTATTCAAAAATTTTGAATCTAATTTTAATATACATATAGATAATAAAAAAGATTTTTGTAAGAAAGATTAATAATATTTCTTGTAAGAAAAATATTGATTTTTTACAAAGGGTGTTTCAGACCACTCGCGCCACCCATACGAGAGAAATGATTTTTATAAAAAATCTCAAAATATTTATAAGTAAATCGGATACACTTCTATCAAATCTGGTGATATTTTCAACTTCCGATTTCGAACGGAATTGAGCTATTTAGACTGGAAGTAAATTTTTCAAAAATCATTTAAAGATTATAGTTGACATTTTTCTAAAATTTTTTCTGAATTAAATTCTTCGTACAAATTTTCATGTTTTTTCACGTGGAATTTGAACCTACAATAAAAAAATACTATGTTCCAGTAAAAAAAGAATCAACTTCCGAGCTGAATAATCTATTTCCGTTCGGAACCGGAAGTTTAAAATATCAGAATTTAATAGAGCGTACCCGATTTACTTATCAAAATTTTTGGAATTTTTGATAAAAAATCATTTTCCTCGTTTTTGAATGGCATGGATATATACTAATATACTGTTTTACATTATTAGGATACTGTTACATTATTAGGATACTGTATATACTGTTTTACATTATTAGGGAAAATATGATTGTCAATATATATATTCGTATTCAAACTTCGATTCCAAATTTTTGAATCGTAGAAATTCAAATCCAAATCAAATCGATGATTAATCATAATCTAAACTATTCAAAAATTTCCATTCTTAAGTTTGAATACGAAATCACATACATTGACAATCTTATAAAATCATATTTCCCGCTAATAAGTAAAATAATATATTGTATAATTAATATTATACTGAGGGATTTTCCGTTCAACCCAATATATATTAAAATTCAACTTAACAATAATTATATTGTCAAATAAAAACTATATTTCAACGATTCGTTTTGATTCAACATTAAAAAACTTTAATTCGCATATCTCTATTTAATAGTTATATAATACGAAGCAGACGAAATTCTACAACGTAACAATATGAGAAAAAAAAAACTACGCTATTACGTGGACTCGAATTCCTTCAAGTTCTTTCTGGCCAAAGTCTTCTGAGTGGCGAACGAATACGAGCGAGCTGAAGTCGGGCGTTCCATTCGAGACTCCTTAATTTCGTGATCTTGCGCGATTACTTTCATTCTCTTCGTCGGGGATTGGGCGAATAATTCCACTATATTCATGGACGCTGCGTCGCACTTGAAAGCGTAAAATCATTAAATTATTACGTACTCCTGACCGGAAAATCTCCAAGCATGAGCTACGAAGTAATTTTATAAACGAAAGAACGAGATAATTACCTGCAACTGAAGACGATGGAGGAAATCTACTTCTGCCAAGTTTAAAGGCGCGTCGACGTGTAACTTAAGCATACATTGCAACGCCTCTTTGTATACTTTTTTCAGTGTAATGACGCGTTCGGTTCGCATTAATCTACGTACTAAATAACCACGTGTGTAAGCGTTGATGGTATTCACCGCCTGTACCTATACGGTAACATAACTTTAATAAAAATGTCTTTCTTGCGTTCATTTCTACTAATGTAAATGAACTTTAGTCTCGATTCAACTTATTTTTCATCCTTTTTTAGTTTTAAGAGGGGATTAGAAAAAGATAACAGGTACATTAAACCAAGATTAAAGTTAATCTACTACTGATAAGAAAAGAACATTGACAATGGAAATATGTTAGAAATTTTCATCACATTAAAATTGTAGTTTGTACTCACATGTTTCTCGAGATATACTGTGGTGTCTAGCACTGGTACGTGCGTAGTGTTACTATCTAAGGGAAATAACTGTCGGCTCACATTGGAATTCTTATATACAATAAGATCTTGCGACTCGTGACTGCTGTTATCGTCATTATTACTGTTATTATTATTGTTGTTATTGTTGTTGTTGTTGTTGTTGTTATACGTGGTGTTGCATAAACTCACTTTTCTCGTAAAGTCGTAATCGAGAGTTGCTGGAGAATTGTCCGCGATAATGGACTGATGTTTAAGCAAGTATAAATTTCTCGAGGAGAGGTAATCCAGTGGACATACAATCACACGGTTCGTCAACGGTAATTTAATATTACAATGCGTTTCCGCGCGTACGCTGCCGAGCGAGTTTATGTTCGTTTGTTGCAACCTCGTTTCGCAACTCGCCGGCCTCGCATCGTCAATTGACAACGATCGATTTAACATAACGTCCGAAACGTCTGCTTGACGCGGTACTCCGCTGGCGCACTTTCGTATCTCGGCTAGCAAGAGCATCTGCTGCTTTTGGAATTCCGCCTGCAGCAGCGATTGTTCCTTTCGCTGACGGTATATCAACTCCATCATCTGCTTCTTGTGCATCGCTTCAATCTCTTTGTAAACCATCAAGAGTTTATCTGGTGTGGAAGACTTTATCTTAATGTTCGAGTCGCGATAGTCGCCTTCCGGGGTGCTCGCCTTTTTGCTGCGATGCCTCTCATCTATGCAAGACAAATGAACTTTAGGACCATTCGCGTCTCCTGCTAAGTACTCTCTACTCGATAAATTTAATATATTGGTGTCGCTATCTTTCTCCGATTTTTCTAAGGAATGTTGCTTCTTAAAATCTGTATTAGATCTACGATTATGTTCAGTTGGTGAAGCATCAAATCTATATACATCTTCTTTGACAATTACTGCTTCAGTACAACTGATAGATTCATCTACCTGACGTGATTCCATCAAATTATCAGGCTTTCTATGCGGAGAAGCTGATATTTCCGCTGTACATTCTAATTCACTTAAATCCTCAACATCTGCCATAAACTGTTTATTTTCCCACTCCACTTTAGGCTGCACAATGTTCCATTGTTTTCGTTGTGACACATTAGTGGCAGGGGTGGGGATGTACTTTTCGTCAGTCAATTCTGTATGCATATGAGCGAGCAACATAGGACTGGGTGTGTCCAATATGTAAGAGCCTTGACGTGATAGCTTAGGTGGATTTTCAGTTTCCTGGGAAACCCCTATGGAAGAAGAAGTGTCTTCCTCATCGTTACTTAACATTATCGGAACCACGTCCAATGTTTTGGGCACCTGCGGCTTCCAATTCTCTGACATTGCATCTTCGCTCGGCGTCGCCACCTCTGTTGCATCAACACATTCATTTTGATCAGTCACGGCAGCAATAGGTTTTGAATCATTAGCAGTATTATTTATTGGACAAACTTGAAGTTGCGAATGCTGTATATCTGATATGGAGGACTGGATATTATGGCCATCTCTGATTTCTCCCACGACTCGTGGCATCGGTTCGACAATAGTCATTTTCGAATACGAATCGCTGTTATTGGTATCACTCGCGACGTCACGGCTAGATACATCGCTATCCGAACTATATCTAATGCTATTTAATTTATCCATTGGTTCCGTTACGTTAGCCTGCATGCATTTATCCAGAACGATACGTTTAACCAGCCGTCTGTCCCTCAAATTACTTTCCGCTTTGATTGCCATAGATTTATAACGTCTCATCTCTTCCTTTATGGCGTCGGTCATCTGAAAAATAACACAAATTAACGTAAAGCGATTCTCCACAAGAGGTAATGAGGCGTTGGTTAGGCGAGTATTTACTAGTGGTGGAAGAAGAGGTATCCCGTTTATTTTCATACAAGAGGTATAAAATTCTTGCTGCATGTTTCACGTGTGATACTCGAGAATACACTTCGTCACAATCCACTGACGTTCCTGCAAAGAAAACGATTCATTATTAGTAATTATCGCAATTTCTCACTTTACGGTTCTCTATGGCTGCTCACTTTTCAAATCTTCACACGAGAAGTTTTCTTATCATTTAAATACCCAAAATGCGATTACCTTCTTCTTCTTCTTCTGATGTAGGCTTCCGTTTCCACCAGAAACGATACAGCCTGTACTTAAATGGAGTTACTCCAGTGGGTTGGCGGGATTGAGTCAGGTGCGCCAACTAAAGTGGAGCAAAGGTCCAGCTAGAGAGTAAGGAGATGAAATATATGAAACCATTGAATAAAGAATACCATGAAGGAACATGTCGCATTTTTGGTGCGACGTCATAAAAGTGGACCAAACCTAAAGGCTACCTTACAATCATCGACGAGGATACTATTTAAAGATCGACACCCTTAGGCCCGTTCTACAATACGTCGTATGTCGGGTCGTAAGGCCCGTTCTACAATACGTCGTATGCCGTTGTCGGATGTCGCTAAACGCTTGTCGTATGTTGGATGTCGGATGTGATTACGACTTGCTATTCTACATTAAACATAGAGGCTGCGTTCCGTTGCGAGTATTAACCTCTTTGGTTGCGACTACCGATTACTGTGCTTTTTTGTTAATTTGTGCATTAATTGCATTCGATTCCTGAAACGGACAGTGGATATAAGAATCAT